TTGAGAAACGATGTACAAATGCGCTTTACACAATTGATGTGTGTATGGATTGGGATAACAGTTGTATGAGCCCCTAATAAAATGTTAAAAAACAAACAAAAAACACACACACACACAAAAAAAAGGTTGGTGGCTCAAACCTACTTAGCTCAGTGGTTCTCAACCTTCCTAAGGCCAAAACCCTTTAATGCAGTTCCTCATGTTGTGGTGACCCCCCAACCATAAAATTATTATTTTCGTTGCTACTTCCTAACTGTAATTTTGCTACTCTTATGAATCAGGCGACCCTTGTGAAAGGGTCGTTCGACCCCCTGAAGGGGTCATGACTCACAGGTTGAGAACTGCTGCCTTAGTTGCTCCACAGGAGAAACATAAGACAAACTGCTTCTCTAAAGATTTACAACCTTGGAAACCCTATAAGGTCATTTATGAGTTGGAACTGGAAACAGAATTGCTTTAATTATAAAATCTGTCAATAGAGTTGGGACTTTTCTTGGGAGTGGTTTTGTAAAGATGATGTTGGTCTAGTTTTGATAAGCACACATTTCTGAAAGAAAGATAAAAACAACAACAATGAATCTACCCAACAAACTCCAGCTCTTTGTTATAAACCCTAACAATTAAGCACATTAATATCTTCTATCTATAAACACCCAAATGTTTAATCTCCTATATTACATTCAAAAGCTGCTTAACAAATACCTTGCTGAGTTAGCAAGATGGAACTTTATATGCATTAATGCAGAAGCATTATGATAAAGTCTAGTTTTAGAAACATATTAATAAAGCAAATCTCTTCCAACTAATGAAATTTTTTGAATTGTTATATAATAACTAGCAATTTTATATGTAGTCTATTCATCTATTTGGAAATGTCTTATTTTCAAGTTTAAGGGAAAAAATCATAGTTTGCTAAAGTAATTCATTTTACAAAATAATGAAGTCAGTAATATAAAATTTCATGAAGCCTTTGGTGAATTATTGGACTGTGGCATGTAATTTTGTTAGTATTATCATGAAAGTGACTAAAATTAGTAGCAAAGATAGATTAATCATGCTACAAGGCCATAGATTCTCCAAAGCATTTGGAAGTGTAATGAATTAAATTATAATACTTGTGTATTGATATGTACTCCTTACTTAACAACGACCTAGTATTTTACATATATGACAATAATAAAAATACCTATTACCTGACAAGTTTGCACAACAGCAGCAAACATTAGGCAGTAACACATACCAAGGTGCTGGGCAAGAGTAACTCTCATGGGCCACACTGGCTAAGGTGTGTGTTTAGTTGGCTGAGCCACGATGCTTAGTGTTTTGGCAGTTATGTAATGATGTCATTGTCCTCCATTTTGTGAACTAATGTGGTCATCCTCAATTTTTGCAAAATGACAATCTTCACACACTGAACTGATATTTGAAAACCTCCCATGCTGGTAAGGAGAGAGTAGATGTAATTTAAACAAAACTTTGTTAACTGTAAATGTCTGTTATTTTACAGGTACATTACCATTTCTTAGAAAAGATCTCCGAGATTGCCCTCCATTGAGTGGCGGTAGGGTCTTCTTTTCCTGGCTGACAAAGGTATCCCACTTCACCTTGTCACAGCCGCCCAGTTCCTTGACTTTCTGTAAACAACTTTCCAAGTACTCCACTGGGTCTTCAGGCTTGGAACACATCAGTCCATTCAAAAGGCTCTGAAATGCCGCAACGAAATGAATAAATAAAATGTTTTTTAAATGCTTTGATTTAAAGTATATGTCCTACCTTTGAATTCAAGATGTTTGTGTTATTTGCATTTGCATTTTAATAAAAGAGCTGAAATTGAATAATGTAACCCCTAAAATTCTTGATCAATTGACTTTCAGCTTGGAGTTCTTTAAACAATCCAGGCAATGAAATATTTAAAGATGTACACATCACAGTCAGGTAAAGGGCAGCATGTGAAAATGTACACCCCTACCCCACCATGTCGTTGTTTATCTCACTCCTACTCATTCTTTTTTAAAATAGTTTTATTAGCATATACTTCACATATCATACAACTCAATCATTCAATCATATTGAGTTGTGCAGTCATCACCACAATTAGTTTCAGAATATTTCTCACATTCTTTGCTAGTAGCAACTCATTTCCCCCATCCTCTCCCGCCATGTCCCTAGGTAATTATTAATCCAATTACTACTGCTATAGATTTAATATCTTGGATTTCATATACAGAAATTCATATAAAAAACACCGGATGAAGACAAAATTATGGCTAGACAAACAGAAAAACCTCAATAAAAGTTAGAAAATATCAAAAACTGAAAACTTAAAAATAGGTCTAAAAGGAGATCAAATGATAAGGTAATTGCATTTTAACCTTATGACATCTGCCATAATCAACTTAAAAAAACAATTCAATCATTTAATCATATTAAAAAGGCTCATACAATCATCACCACAACCAATTTTAGCATATTTTCTTCTTTCTTGTACCCCTTGTTATTAGCTCCCTGTTTACCTCCAACCTTCCTTGCTATACACCCAAGCAATCATTAATACAGCTACTGTCTCTATAGTGTCACTCATCTTGGATTTCAGATGCAGAAAAACATACAAATATACAAAAACACCACCAACAAAACAAAACAGGCAAAAGCCTCAGTAGAAAAGAAAACAGAAAATATTAAAAACTAGAACAAATTTAAAATGAGTCCAAAGGGAGATGAAATGATAAGGTGTTAAATTTTAACATAACTGTATCTGCAGTAATACACTTCCCAAAGCACTCTGCATGATAGCAAGGCTGTTCACATCCCTGCTCAGGGGATTCACTGGAGGCTTAAGCCATGTGTATTTCCCCCTCACTTTTTTAAACTAGAACTACTTTAAAAATCGGTCAAACAATGGAGCTGATACCAAGAGCTCAAGTAGAAAGAAAATGTTTTTGAAATGATGATGGTAGCATATGTACCAATGTGCTTGATACAATTGATGTATGGATGGTTATAAGAGATGTAAGAGCCCCCAATAAAATGATGCATTAAAATAAATAAATAGTATTCTAAAAAAATTAAAAATATACAAAATCGGTCAAAAAAGAGATCTAATGATATTATATTACATTTTAGCCTAACTATATCTTCCACAACTGACTTTACAATGCTCTCAGTCTGATATCAAGGCTGTTCACAGCCTTTGATTAAGGTCAAAGGAGAACCACTGAGGCTTAATCCATGTGTGGACCCTGCAATGACATTTTAATCATCCGTTCGCCGAACTCAACCCAAAATCATTTAATAATGGTAGGGGTTCTGCTGAACTGGTGCAAATGGCCTGAATCCCACCACTGAGTATACACCTTCCATATCACAGGGAAAGTTTTAGATCCTGGGGATTGAAGGATCAATAAAACTCACTCGGTGTTAATAAAGAGTTTATGGTTTAGAAGAGGAAATTAATACAAAGATGATGTCAGTATAAATGACATTTATGATAGTTTATGCTGTACACCATGGGACACGTGCTCAGGCACAGGAACAATTTTGAGGATGGTGCAGGACCGTGCGGTGTTTCATTCTGTTGGGCATAGGGTTGCCATGGGCTGGCGCCAACCTGAGGGCACCTAACAACAACAGCATGCGGACACAGAAGAGTGAGCCAACCTGGGACTTGAGAAACTTCTGATGATGATGGTAGAAATAGTAATAACTACAACTCCCACCAAAATTGTGTAAGAATTTGTAATGAGTGTTCTCTCTAAGCAGCCCAGTTACCCAATGTGGAAATCACAAATTTGTATTCCTTACTCTTTTTTAACACTCATCTATGCAACAGTGTATTCTAAGCGCCCATATTAATATTCATTCTATGTCCATAGGTATAAAAAATTAGATGTAAATATTTATTTATTCAGTTCATGAAAATTGTTATACTTTTGATGAAATAATATATTTCTACCCCCTAGAATTTGTTGCTTCCATAAACAAACAGAATGTAAGGAGAAAAAGTGCAAACACCAGAGGGTACACACTGTCATTCGTGTCAGCTTGTGTTTCGACCCATATTTCCATTCAGGAATAATGTAATTCCTGAAAGCGTTCAAAGAGATAGAGATATTGTCAGAAAAACTGCTGTAAGTTCATCAGAAGTAGAAAGGCAATTTTTAAAGATGAACATCATATGTTCAGAGATGAGAAGTTGCCTGTTTCTAATATATCAAACACAGTGACTACTGTCTAATTGACCTGCTGCTAAAGGAATGGGATTCTACCTCTACAGTGAAAAGATGGTGAAGGATAAATCCATAGCTCATAAATCCGTGATGCTCTCATAAAAGGGAAGAATGTTGCAAAGGAGGACGCTACTCAAAAAGCAATATGGAAATATCTTAAATAACAGTCATTGTTTTGCCAGGTATTATTTAATATTTTCCTTAATGTTTTAAAACTTTTTCTAATAACACAATCTACTTTTATGTACCTGTTTTATTGTTCTTATTTAATGTTAACTGTATGAAATAATAAGCCTTTCAGTATAAAGTTTTTAATACTTCAACCAGTCATTAGGGCAGCAAATGGATTTTAAATTATTTGAATCCCACCACTGTATACACTGAACTGTTTTCTGATTAGGAAGGTGTGGTAGCTACATAATTTTATGTCAACTTGAATGTATTTAACAGTGTAGGGGTCAATCTGTCAATCAGGTCACAGGCCGATGGTGCATCTTTGTGGGTGTGGCCTTCTCATAAGGAAGAACCAGGGAACCTTCCCCTTTTTCTTCCTTAATCTTTGTGCTGGCCAGAAAGAAAGAGAAAAAAAGAAAACCAGGATTGTGTTGTTTCTTTTCCTGTTCCTGGTATTCAATATGCCACATGTACTAATTTCTAAAAAGGATACAGCTTTGAAAATGCTACTATGGAAGCTGGAGCCCTAGTGGTTTAATGGGTTATTCTTTGGACTGCGAGGAAGCCCTGGTGGCATAGTGAGCTATGCACTGGGCTGCTCACCACCAGTTTGAATCCACCAGCTGCTCCTTGGAGAAAGATGTGGCTTTCTACTCCCATAAACAGTAACTGTCTTAGAAACTGTTAACCGTCTAACCCCTACGGGGGTAGATAGAATTACTTTATAGGGTAGATAGACTCCTATAGGGTTGATATCAACTGGATTGACTCAATGGCAGTTAGTTTGGTTTTGGTTTGGTTTGGGGCCGCTAGCCACAAGTCAATAGTTCAAGCTGGTCTGCAAGAGAAAGATTACGCTGCCACCAGCCATAAAGACTTAAATGTTAAATATACAGTCTCAGAAACTCTAGGGAGCAGTTCTACTCTATTCAGAATTGACTCCATAGCAGTTGGTTGGTTTACACCTGGGCACTAGACTCTCTTATTCGCTCTCCCCTCCTCTCTTACTCCCTCTTATGTGTATTTGTCTCTGTCTCTCTCACTGCCATTAAGACTACTCCAACTCACATCTACCCTACAGGGCAGGGCAGAACTGCCCCTGTGGGTTTCTGAGACTAGAACGCTATAGGAGTAGAAAGCTTCATCTTTCTCCCATGGACTGGCTGATGGTTTTGAAAGGCCACCTTGAGTTTAGCAGTCCAATGCATAACCTAGTATGCCACCAGAAAAAATCCTTTCCTTTAGAGTATGTCATGCAAACAGCAGTAGTATCACCAATTTCAAAAAAGGGGCCAGAGAGACCATATCTCACCGTCTCTGGCTACCCTACTGCCTTGAGGCAGAGATCAGAAATGTCTCCACCCTCCTTCCTTCTTTATCTATTCTGATATCAACCCTTGACACTCTACTTTTCTGCTGGGTTTGGTAATTCATTGCTTTGGCCACACAAAACTTACAGACAAAACACAATTATGCGGGCTTATTGGGGAAGTTAACAGGTTACGACAAGCCGGGATCAGTAAACAGTAAGACAGTCATTGGTCCACAGCAGCCAGCAGCCAAATCTCTCTGGTCTTTAGCCCTTGGCCATGTGATCCCTTGGTTTTTGTCTTTGTAGGTCACAAAGCCCACAGGCCGCACAGGGCCCATCGTCTTGGCACTTCGGCTCTAACCTTGGCCTGACTCCTTTGCTCCTCAACATGGTCTTTGTGCTGCAACCTCTGACACCGCTGGTCTCAGCCTCTATTACTTCAGACATTGATCTTGAATGTGCTCTACTAGTGGCTCTCCTTCCTTTTTGATCCTGAGATTCTCCCTATGCTTCTAAGCTGGCTTTTACACAAAGAGTAATGGCTTTGATGGAGGTATGTTTTTTGTCTTTCCAGTGGATCATATCCCTAAGGAAGACTGACCCTTGACACAATGGATTGACACAGTGGCTGCAACAATGAGCATACACATACAATATTATGAGAGTGGTGCAAGACTGAGTAGTGTTTCAGTCTGTGGTGCAGAGAGTTGTTATGAGTCAGAACTGTCTTGAAGGCACCAGCAACAAGAATAATTGTAAAGTTTTGCATACTGAAGGAGAAAATTCAGTCTAGATTTCCTAAAACATCTGGTCTTGCATCTTACTGGGAGGACTAAGGCTTTGGAGGTCCCCAGCAGGTACCAATACATCTTCAGATTGTCCAGGGTTAAATATTCTGAATTTTGCTCAAGCACATTGGGATCTTTTTCTGGGCGTTCACTATTTTAAAACATACCATTCATATGCAGAAAAGTCAACAAAAGGCATAAAACGG